TTAAATATTTACACTGCAGTAGTGCTGAGGGGATCATGGCTTCATTGCGTTGTTCTCAACAAACATATGTTTTGATATTATGCACATGAGCAATGGTATGTGCAGACACAAAATGCCAGTGTATCCCCATGCATTGAACAAGTGCATTGAACATGTACAAGTTGGGTGTGTGCTGATGGACAGGCATAACCTAGAATGCCCACTTTTGAAAAGTTGGGGCCACAACATTCAGAGATGAGTTAGGATTTTAATAGTGTGAGGACAATATACCATAAACGCTCCAGACACAGATCTGCTATGTTGGTTGTAAGAAATCAGCCAGTGAAGAATGGCTCTAAGAGAAAAGGGGGTAATTGGCACAATATCTATTAATAATTATTTTTCAAAATTACAACAGGATGTGTTTGTATAAACTCATTTCCATGCTTGTGCTATCTTACCAGTTGTTGCCCCTTTGGACCCCATCCAGCGTACTGAAGCTTTGCGTTACTAACTTCGGGTGGATACAAACTCTGGGGGTCCCTGCAAAAAAGACAAACAAAGATTTCAGCCTCTAAAGTTTCAGCCTTTAAACTTGTGCAGTCCCTACTCTGAAGTTCCATTACATCCACTTGTGTCCGTTTCTTTAGCTAGAACCTGCCAGCACTTACTACTGGATTTCAATGACTCCTTAACATGTAGTCAGCACTACTTTTGGTAACAAGTGTGGGTAGGATCAGCTGACAAATACCTCTTCTCACTAATACAAGACTGAAATACATTAGTTCTACCAATGACTAGCCTAAGCCTTAAGTATTAGTCAAGGGAAGGCAAACAAAATACACCTCTACCCTGATATAACGCGACCCGATATAACACAAATTCGGATATAACGCGGTAAAGCAGTGCTCCGGGGGGGCGGGGCTGCGCACTCTGGTGGATCAAAGCAAGTTCGATATAACGCGGTTTCACTTATAACGCAGTAAGATTTTTTGGCTCCCGAGGACAGCGTTATATCGAGGTAGAGGTGTAATTGTATTTATCAACACTTGTGATATCTACAAATGACAAACAATAATTACAGTTCTGAAACACACTGCCATGAGATAATATAATTTCATCTTCTTCACCCCATGGCTTTTCTGCCTGATCATTTCGTTTTGAACATGATGGCAGGGAACTTTGGCATCTCTATTACTACCGCATAAACTGATATACAGCTTGGCTTTCAGGGGAAAAGCTGTTATTAATAATACTGACTCTCAATCTGTTAAAAATAAAATGGAAATGCTTTTCCTGTTCCTTCATCCGTTACCTTTGTTTTAGAGAAGAACACCAGTGAACATGGCAAATGCAATCAAAAATAGTGCGCTTCTGTAAATGTCAGTGCTGCATAATGTCATCTTGTCACATCAAAGGCATCATGCTGTCTCCCATTGTTTTGATGGTGCTTATACTCAATGCAAATAATTATTTTTGATATTTGAAGTCGCTATTACAACCCTTATTATTTATATAACAAGTCTATAAATAAGAATATTAATAAAGCTTTCATATAGTGTTATTCACAGTAGCTCTCAAAGTGCTTTTCAAAGGAGGTCAGTATCATTACTGCCATTTTATAGATGGGAAAACTGAGGCACAGAGCAGAGGAGTGACTTGCCTAAGGTCACACAGTAGCCCAGTGGTAGAGGTGGGAATAGAAGCCAGGTGTCCTTAGTCTCAATTCAGTGCTCTACCACTAGACCACACTGCCTCTCTTCTTTCACTTGTATGACTTTTATTCCTTCCGTAAGCACATTGTTTTCTCTTGCCTCTTTTACAATACAATGAAATGAAAGGCAATAATTAGACACCACCAGTTAAATCCAATTATGTCTAAAAATGTGTGCCCTTTTCCCTTTTAGACTGGAAAACACCGTAAGTTCACACGCATTATATTTTGTGGCGGATGCTATATATAAGGGCCTGATCCTGCTCTTTGTAATTAGCCAAAAACTTCCTTTCCTCTCTGGGTGTTCTCTCAGTGGAACGTTTGCAGTATTGGGCCTAGAGATACTGGGGACAAACAAAGATATGTACAGCTAGGTTCTGCCTGTTCTTGCATGGGTGTACAAATGAGGGTAGAGTGAGCCCTTCCCTTGCGCACCTGTCCAGAGGACAGCTAAAACCAGGGGCTTGCACAGTGCAAGAAATGCAGGACCCGCAAATGGGGCATGATAGAATGTGGCTGTAACTAAGGCCGTAGCCTTGCCCTTTGCCACATGCACTGGTGGCCTAGTGCTTGAGGAAGCACATAGAATCATATAATCGTAGGACTGGAAGGGACCTCGAGAGGTCATCTAGTCCAGTCCCCTGCACTCATAGCAGGACTAAGTATTATCTAGACCATCCCTGACAGGTGTTTGTCTAACCTGCTCTTAAAAATCTCCAGTGATGGAGATTCCACAAACTCCCTAGGCAATTTTTTCCAGAGTTTAACTATCCTGACAGTTAGGAAGTTTTTCCTAATGTCCAACCTAAACCTCCCTTGCTGCAATTTAAGCCCATTGCTTCTTGTCCTATCCTCAGTGGTTAAGGAGAACATTTTTCTCTCCTCCTTGTAACATCCTTTTATGTACTTGAAAATTGTTATCATGTCCCCTCTCAGTCTTCTCTTCTCCGGACTAAACAAACCAAGATTTTTAAATCTTGCCTCATAGGTCATGTTTTCTAGAACTTTAATAATTTTTGTTGCTCTTTGGACTTTCTCCAATTTGTCCATATCTTGCCTGAAATGTGGCACCCAGAACTGGGCACAATACAGCCAGTTGAGGACTAATCAGCGTGAAGTACAGCAGAAGAATGACTTCTCGTGTCTTGCTTACAACACTCCTGATAATACATCGCAGAGTGTTTGCTTTTTTTCCAACAGTGTTACATTGTTGACTCATATTTAGCTTGTTATTCACTCTTCCCCCCAGATCCCTTTCCATAGTACTCCTTCCTAGGCAATCATTTCCCATTTTGTATGTGTGCAACTGATTGTTCCTTCCTAAGTGGAGTACTTTGAATTTGTTCTCATTGAATTTCATCCTATTTACTTCAGACCTTTTCTCCAGTTTGTTCAGATCATTTTGAATTTTAATCCTATCCTCCAAAGCACTTGCAACCCCTCCCAGCTTGGTACCATCCACAAACTTTATAAGTGTACTCTCTGTGCCATTATCTAAATCATGGGTCTTTTGAGGCCCCTTCCAGTCCTACGATTCAATGGTTGATGAAGATACTGAACAGAACCGGATGCAGAACTGATCCCTGCCAGATCCCACTTGATATGCCCTTCCAGCTTGACTGTGAACCACTGATAACTACTCCCCGGGAATGGTTTTCCAACCAGTTATGCACCCACCTTATAGTAGCTTCATCTAGGTTGTATTTCCCTAGTTAGTATATGAGAGGGTCATGCGAGACAGTATGAAAGCCTTACTAAAGTCAAGATACAGGCAGTCCTTGACTTTACGACGTTCGACTTATGACAAACAGGACTTACGACATTTCTGAATCGGAGTGGATTGTGGTCCCGAGTTACGACGTTCAGACTTATGACGCCATTTTCAGGAACCAATTGTGTTGTAATTCCGAGGACTGCCCGTATACCACATCTACCGCTTCCCCCTATCCACAAAGCTTGTTACACTGTCAAAAAAAGCTATTAAGTCACTGCACTCATTTTTAAAAGGTGCATAACATTTGCTGCTCCGGCATAGCATTCATGACCCCAGTGGCATTCGTACGGCCTTTGTCCTCCAAAGGCAGAATGTCTCCTGGAGCTGCTTCAGGAGAAGTACAAATTCTGCTTTCGTCCTGCAAGGTTTGGTTGTAAAGGGCTTATTGTAGTCGTTAGTTGCTTTTGAAAGATATGAGCTGGGGAGCAAGTAAATGACTCACTCTATCCTGAGTGCTCTCTGTTCCCATTAAAATCAGTCACAAAGCTCCCAGTCACCACAATGGAACAACTTCACAGCTGTTTATGATTAATTCTAGGGTTACATGTACTTTATGCCTAAGCCACTAGCCGGCCATTTCTGTCAAAATTCCAGCAATGTGGTTAGTCATTTTGGTTACCTCAACAGCGAGTAGCCTCTTTGTGTGGCAGAAATGTAGCAGGCTGATAAATTATGAGAAAGTGTATTGTGATTTACTGAGAGGAAAAACACACTTCAACTACTTGTTACACAAATTATTTAGGCCAATTTTTCACCTGTGCCAATAAAACAAGTAAAATATTATAATACTGAAATATTCCCCTCAAATGAACAGATTGGACAAACTACAAGAATTCAAACCAGTAACACATCAAAGAAAGCATGTGGAGCTGAGGGACATGAATATCAATTATAGCCAATAATTCAGATCAATAAAAGACAAGTCATATCAGTTCTGCTCAGGGCATCATCTTTCAGGAGAGCTAAACTCTATTACAATGAGAACTGCAGCATAAACAAGCTTTGGTAACTGACAAGGGGTAACACAACACAGAAGGACAAGACCACCAATTCACTCTACCAGAAAGGTGCTCTGCTAGTGACGAAGCAGCAAGAGTCATCCTCTCTCTCTCACACCTATTTTTAAAGACAAACGAATGTTATCCACTGAACTAGCTCCTAAATTGTGTAGATGGGCTGCGACTATCTGATGTTTGTGGGGATTAAAAAGCAGCAAAAACATTGCTGCAGTTGCGCTTATTCACTTCCAAACCTTGTGCTGCCAACTGCAAAGATAACGGATAGCATATTATACTGTGCGGCTGCAGGATTTAAGAAGCCATGCGCTCAAAGTCACTGTTTTCAGTGCTACAAACCAGAGAGCAATAGCTTGCTCAGTGCAGTGTGTCGCCACAGCATGGAGGAGCACAGCATGGGCCAGATCTTTAGAAGAGCTCTGCAGCCATTTTGAAAATCCAGCCCCAACTGTGGGTGCCAAGCACCTGCAAATCTGATCCTGAGCTCATCTGAAACTCTCTCTTAGGCAGTTGGACCCCATTACTGTAATATCTGAGTGCCTCACACCACTCCTGTGAGATAGGGAAAGGCTATTATGCCATTTTACAGATGGGGAACTAAGGCATAAAGTGACTTGCCCAAAGTTATACAGGAAGTCATTGGTGGAGTGGTGGTCTCCTTAATCCCAGACTAGCACTGTAGCCACTGGACCATCCCTCCTCTCCTCTCTAAAAGCCTGTCTACCCTTGCGGTGGTGTGTAGGGTACAAGCAGCTACACGCCGCAGTGGAAGGCAGGCTGTGTTCACACTTACTGCAGTGTGTAGCCTCACTCAGCAGCGAAAGACTCCAGAGCAGGGAGGCAGCAGGGAAAAGCTCCGGCAGCTCCCTGCTGCTGGAGATTTTCACTACACCTGAAAAAGGCTCTGACAGGGGGGAGCTGCCAGAGCTTTTCCCCACCCCACTGAAAGGCTCCAGCAGTAGGGAACTGTTAGAGCTTGTTCCTGCTGCCTCCCCCTGCCAGAGCCTTTCCCCACTGCTGGAGCCTCTCAGTGGGGAGG